TCACACCATATATAGAGTTTTAGGGTTAAAGAGCTGTTTGTATACAATAAAACTCATCATAGATATATTTCATACCATTTTCTTATAAGCCTTGGAATAGCAAAGTTTTGTTGGTAACCATTATAGTCTAAATTTTAGATGAGTTTTTCAATGTTCTTGTTAAACTTACAGAACCCCAGTTGCACGATCTGCAAGGGCTTGTATCCTTCCATATGGTCACTTCATCCTTTGAAGTCTCTCTGTCTCCATGCCACTGGGCTCATATAAACCATCCCTGTTTTTCCTATCCACCCTGAGGGCAAAGTTCAGCCTCTTCCCTGGTTTCCATAGAAATCTGCTGACACTGAGCATTTAATCTATGGGAATGACTGGAAGAAAGCCTGTGACAGAAATCTAAGTCTGCATCATTTCCTGTCTTCAACCTTTCTTTTTTCCTTCTTCCTATGGTTCAGCACAGTAAACAAACAACCCCTTTGTCTCAGAGCCCTTCCACCTATACTGAGGCCCCTCAAAGCTTTGTAATTTACCCTACACTCACCAGTATATTATCTCAACACAGACAACTCTTGAATCCTAAAAAGAGTCTGAGTCAATAATATTTTCTCCAAACCTAGATCCCGAGGAGACATGTTTGGTAAACGAAGATATTTAGTGTTTGGTGTTTCACACTGACATTTGCTTTTATTATGCAGGCTTCCAGTGACAGTATTGCTGCCTCTCCGGAGTGCCACTATACACCTCTGCCTTCTGCTTCCAGGGAACTCACCAGTCACCGAGGTAGGAACTCAGCTTTTTATTGCTCTCAGTGGTGGCAGGGAAGAACACTTGGCTGTGCACAGCTCTGGGCTCATGACTGCTGTCTCGGCACTTTAGAAGGAACAAAGTGCTTTTCAAGTCCTTGATGAGAAAACCATACTTGTCAAACCTACTGATTTTAACTCATATTAAACAGAATTTAGTGGCAGTCTACCAGGAAGGCAAATAAATCCATGGTATAATGTAATTTTGTAATTTTTTTTCTTTAAATAAATAGATTATAGTTCTTACAAATTACTAAGTAGATTATTACCTCCAGCAAAAGGAATATTGAGAAACTCACTAATATTTGTAAAAGTGTCATTGTTGGGGAGCATAATTGAAATCTGTAATTTAAGAATAAATGAACTCTACATTACAGCTTAAAGAAATTTCAATTTACCTGCAAACACTGAAGAGAATGAATGTGTAGTTTTCCCTAAATTTTCTGATTCTTGAAACATTAATTTGGCTTACCCAGTTTTTCAAAAGCCTTGAATTCTTATTGTCATCTCTAGAGTCAGTATGGAATATAATTTTAAAATGCCTTATCCCTAAGCTGGCTGCTTAAGCCAAGGACTATGTGATCACCTTTGTTGGAATTGGTTAGGACAGGAAGAGGCCACACAGTATAACTCGTTTACTCCATTTTATCCTGGATATGTCTACAGCAATGTTTCCTAATTGTGAACCTACCTTCCAAAGGTAAGTAAGAGCAGGCTTAGACTAAGAGTATTATGTACTTTAAACATCATTTCCACAAGCAGGAAATTCCCTTTGTACATGCAAGGGGCACTGAATAAGGACTGTTCTAGCTTCGTTATACCCACTATATTGCATGGTTGGTAGGTAGGATGAAAGGCTGTAGAAAGGCCCAGAAAATGGTGGAACTGGTCCTCTGAGAAGACATGTGGGCTCTGGGCAAATGGCACATTTCTGCAGGAAATGATCAAGAGAGTAATGCAGCATTCCAGTTGTCTGTGACTTGGGCTTGTGCTATATCTTTGATGAGTGGGCACAATAGAACTTTTCTACATTTAAATATATGTTGGTTCTCAATTAGGGGTCAGTTGTGATTCTGTTCATTAAGCGTCAATTTTATGAAAATCAATTTTGCTCAAAGACAGGTAGAATAAATAGCTGCCAACAGGTTATATTTCGAGAGGCATGAATAGGTCTCCTTCAGTAAATGTCCTTATGAAGGTTTTGAGCATATATCCTGTTAGAGTCTTTTATTGAATTCCCCTAGGCAAATAATAATACTGTATTTAGAATGAATAACAAATTAACCCTAGCATCATATCCTCATAGATTTATTTATTGGTTTCTTATATACGAATAAGGGTAATTTTACTGTATAGCCTGTTGAATACATTGCATAGGAACTGAAGTCTCAGAGCCCTCAAGCTTGCTTATTAAAGTTGACCTGCCCACGAAATTAAGATTTCACAACTAAAGGACATGATCAGATAAATGTTAATCATTGATAAGACAAAGATCATCTGTTATTGTGACAGTAAAATAACAAATCTGAACCTTGAAGAGATCGAATATAAGATGATAAGTTCTGAAGATATATTGAGTAATATTTGGAATATGAAAAAATGCCTAAGATGGTTAAAATGAAAATAGGTGCCCTTGGATGACATCAGAGCCCAACATCAGTGGGGAAACTGTTCTTTAAAGAGAGCCAACAATGGATGTCTAGATTTTACTGAGGAACAGTCCTTAACATTTAATGCACTTGTTGCATGATCAGTGCTAAGGACTTGGATAGTGAAAAAAGCAAGTCAGCAACATGAAGTGATGGCTGGGTCATTTGGGCCCATGTTCATGAGGAGACCAGTAAAGAAAGAGGCAAACAAGCTCATTAAGTCTGAATTTTTATTGAACTGGTCTATGTAGGAAAAAGATGAGGCAGATATATTTCAGTTTGGCATGATTCATACAATGATCAATAAGGAAAGCCATATTTTTTGTCGCCCAGAATGAAACCGCTTAGTGTCATCTTATTTTTTTATATTTCAGTTAAACAAATTATTCTAAATTTCGATCATGTAAATTAGCAAACTATTCGATCACCATTTGTTAATACCCTCATGGAAACAGCTTACAAACATTTATCCAGAGAGGTATTTTCACACACTGAAGGCAAATTGCATCAATTCTCTCCCAAGTGAAACCCTCCATGATGTCTGAAACTTGATCTATAAAATCTTAAGTGGAAGTTCTCTTTGCAAATAACTTTTGATTCATCCAGTTCCCAATCTCTTTTCATTCCGCACCAACAACTACAAAAACTGGTGGGCAGTAGTTCATGTGAAAATTGCTATTTTTCTGTACATGCCATTTTCCCTTGTCCTTTTATGTAACTTCAATGTCGAGTATGATAGGCCCAAGATTCATGTCCTAAGGACTCTAGATTCAAATGCAAAGAAAGTCTTGGCCCAGAATAATGATCAGGAGATAAGGGACTCCATTTTTCCATCTGTAATTTACAGATAATCTGTACATCATAGGGAGAGTAATGCACAGTACTTTTTGCTTCCTACATGAATTTTTTTCTGATATTATCTGTTTTGATTTTTCCCTTTCTAGAAGTACTTATATGTTTCTATTTCCTTAGTGCAATTGTTCATATTCTGCTTTGTATGATAGAGGTCAAGTAAATGTACATCTCAAACTTCTCATGAGTGGAAGCTCTCCGAGGGGCAATAGAGACTTGAACCCTTTTCTTTCACGTCAGTGACTCTTACGCATTCTTCAGGTATCAGCTTAAGTATCACAGCTCTAAGGAGGATTCTCTGATCCCACCCAACACATTAATATTAGGTCAGTTTTAACTTTTCTAGGGACTTTCTTCCTAGATATGTTATAAGCTCTTGGGGGGAATGGAGAAGATTGTATCTGTTTGCTCACCACTATATCTGTGGTGCCTGTCACAGGCCTCCTACTTAATCGGATCGTAGTAAATATTTGTTTAGTAAATGATGAGTGATAGAAACCCAGGGGAAAGTCAGCAACTTAAACACTTCTGTAAGGTAACTTGGTTACATCTAAGAAACGTGACCCATCTTCCTTCGGGGGTGAGCACATACTGAAAGAAAAGACCAGCCTTTTAGACCTTAGAACTCAACTCTGTTGCTTTCAGAAACCCAGATTTTCATGGATGGAAGCCATATCTATTGATTCATTGCTGGGCAGCATTTGGCCACATTGCATAACTTTCAAGTTGATAAATATTTTAATGTCATAGTTTTCAGACTCTGATGTTTCGATGGTAGGAAGGGAATAGGATAAATTGAGGCAACTAATGGAACTGTTTTCCTAGGACAGAAACTCTCAAAGAAGGGACTGAGATCTCAGTGGGCCATGGCATCAACATGGTTTTAGAACGGTCCACCTGAAATCTCTCTGAGAGTTCTGCTCTAGGTCTGCACATGTCTTCGGAGTATGGGGGACATTGAGTTGTGTCAGTGATCTCAGCTGCTACCTAGTGGCATTGTACATACTATATCTTCAGTGGATATTTACAGTATGAAGAATGTTGAAATGTATGTTGGGGAAATGTCTCTAAATATGTTACGTGCATAGGACATAAGCCTGCATGACACATATTGCCACTATTTATCTGGTAGATGTTAGAAGTAGAATTTACATTGTGTCATTTGGGGAAGACATTTTTGTTTAAAGCATAAACTATGTAATCTCAAGACAACTCTGTAAATTAGGGAGGGTAAATATTATTATTCCCATTTAACAGAGGAAGACACCAAGAATTTCTAGGGGAGACTAAGTCACTAAGCAGTAGGGGCAAGGAAAAAAATTAAAGCTCTGTGTCCTTGATTCCCAGGTCACCCCTGACATTTGTCCTTCACACAGATATACGAAGCAAATGCAGGGCTAACTACAGCATTGTGCTGGAGGGAAGAGGAAGGAAAGTACAGGGAGAGGCACAGGCTGGAGATGTCCACTGCCGGGGGTGAATTTCCAAAGCCCGTGCTAAGGCTGTAGAGAAATACAGCATTCTTGCCTATTTCTGTCTAAAGAATTGCTTGCTACTCCTCTCCCCAATCCTTCTTTTAAATTACAGAGATATTAATTCTGGAACAGAGAAAATCTGAAAAACCAAAGGGGAAAATGCTATAGTATAGGTCTGAATTCAGGCAGAAAAAATAGAAGACACACTATGTATTCAGATTCTGAGGAGTTTTAATGTAATGAATGAGAGACTTATGTAATCAGAAAGAAACTGAGTCACAGAAGCTGCCACCTAGAGCCTCAGCCTCAGCACTGAATCTGATAATTCTCAAGGGCTTGCTGAAGTTTCTGGGCATCTCAGGAACCCCTAGGAATCTCCTATTGACTTTCTAATCGGCAGTACCACCATGGGTGATTCTCAAGAAATTCACTTCGATACTGCTTTAAACATTAGGTCTAGGTCTATCCATGCATTGCCCTGCCCCTCCTTCCCTCCAGAGTTCCAAATCATACTACAGCGTCTCTCTTTGGCTCACTGTAACCTGGCACCATGCGCCAAAGGAGTTCTGGGAAAGGTAGTTTCCAATTCTTCCTCTAAGTTGCAGAGAAGACCTTAGAAGAGGGTGGTGGTGATGCCCGGTTAAAACAGACAATTCGGCACGTCTACCGTTATCCTACGTCACCAACAGCTATCATGCTGAAGGTCCCATTCCAGTTTGTTTGTACACACATTTTGCAAAGTAATTACAAACCTAGTGAACATGTCTGAGTTATTATTTCTTTCCTGATGTTTATACAGTCTTGAAGATGTGCCATAGTTAGCTTGTCATACCAAGCATTGGACTTTAAATGTATAAAAGAAAGCAAGCAAGAAACTAAGAGGAAACCTGGTAGAAGCGCTTGTGTGGAGATGATAACCACCCTGCTTCTACTCATCCTTGGCAGTCTTGCCATTACTTTTATTGGCACAATTGTTAGGTGCTCATCCTCTTCTCCAACCA